GCATGAAGGGCGCTATATAAATGCGAGTTATTGTTGTCGGAATCGAGCCATCGCCCTCTGTGGTACTCTTGGTAATCCAGTTCCTGAGCCAGGCCGGTCCACAGTACTCCAGGGCACTGCTGATGACAGCGCAGTCGGCCTGGTTCATTGGCATGACTTAGAAAGGCAGATAAGTCACTGGACAGGGAATCCTCTCACTCATCTCCCGTTAACTCTACAAACCAAAGCCCAAATGGGTAGGTTGGTCCAAGTTGGACAAGTAGTGGGAAAGTTTGCCTGACTTGATAACCTGTGCTATCAATTACAAGCTATGTGAATTTAGCTGGTTCGACTCCAGCTGCACCCATCGTATACTCTGGGGACCCCAAGCCTCAGCTGTTGCCTATCTGCAACAAATACTTTCCGGAATTAGGTAAGCAGGATACACCCTCCAAGGAGAGAGTGTGCATTCCACTACAACAACCTATTTCTGGAATTTCCATGTTTCATGAATGCTGCATTTCACCCACAAAACATAGTCAATTCACATTACATTATATTCTGTGAATCACTTTGAGATGTCTCAACGATGTAATAAGGCACTAAATCAAATGTAAGGATTATTATTATCTGAGATGCATAGAATTCTTAGTTTAGCTTGGATACTCCTAAGTATGGTGATGGGGTTAGACAAAAAAATTGTGTAAATAAGAAGTTGGGGAAATGGCTGCAAAGCACAATAGACTGATATTTAGCTCTCATTCTCCTTTATTTCAATGGAAAAATATAAATTGGCACTACTGAGATATAGTACATAAGAAAGATGCACAACATTCCACCATGTACACAAAAAGGTCTTTACATGTACATAACTGCATCGCACAAAGAATCAATATGGAATCCCCCTCAGGCATTTTTGAAAATAAAATCAACAGCTGCATGGAAAGGATGTTCAGCTATCACTATCACCTTCATGCAGTAGGAGACATAAGCTAAACTTAAGCCTAAAAGGGGTTAAATTTTGTTGGAAACAAAAGTGCTTCCCCCTCCCTTTTAGTCAAAGGCAGAATACAGCCCAAAGGAAGTATACAAGAGTACAAATGGCTGAAGAAACTCGCACTGATGGTTGCTGAGGAGAACAAAAGCTTCACAGAATGTGTGCAGGGATGCCAAGGAACTTCAGAGGATTTGAAAACTCTAATATGTCTTTTGACAACCCAGATTCAACTCTACAGTCAAACCCATATACAAGGGCAGCATTTCAGGTGAGAAAGTCTGGCATAGTGTTCTATGGGCACAGCAGGAGGTATCTATCGCATCCAGACTTTTCTGATTAATAAAGAATGTTGAGGTGTTTGCCATTGCAGCTCCTGTTTCTGGCTGAAATCCCATCAACTGCTATGGCGCTGGTTCAGTCATGATCTGGCAGAAAAAATTGAGAGCTCATGCTCTTTTTTCCACTCAGTCTCATCTGTCCCACCACACACACTGTATACACATTTTACATTTAATACACCAACGCCTGTTCTTTGGTTTCAACTTTAAATCTCTTATTTCCCTCTCCGTGTCACCATACTTTTTCAAGCACTTTTGAGGCTTCTTTTCTGTGAAAAATGCTATAAAAATAAGATTTCTGTTGTTTTACTCTGCACTGAGGCACTGACCTGAAATGCTGTACAAACTTTCTGATTATAATCAAATAAATTGTAGTTGGGGTCAGAAACACTCGATCTATTTGGATTTGTGGTGGCCCCATATTGACCAAACTAACTGGAGCAACTTCTAATCCTCAATGGTACACAACATGAAAGGTTGGCATCACACAACATTATTAATATTTGCATTTGATAAAGCACCTCATCACATCATTGAGACATCTCTAAGCACTTCAAAGAATATAAGTGAACTGACTGTACATTTTATGGGTGAGACGCAGCAGCCAATTGCACAGCAGTGTCCCATAAACAGTCGTGGATTGAGTGATCAAATTATTATTTAATTATTTTTTGAAGGAATTATTATCCCCCGGAAAAGCGATCCACCGATCAACTAACAACCGGGTTCCTACTTACTGCTAGGTAAACAGAGGCGTGTGGAATAAGGAAACTTGGCCAACGTTTCGCCCAGCCCGGGAATCGAACCCAAGTCTTTTTGCTTGCGAGGTGAGTGCTCTAACTACTAAACTACAGGACTTCCGTAGGTGAAATTGTGCACAGCAATGTCCCACAAACAGTCATGGATTGAATGACCAAATTTTTTTTAAAAAGGGGATTATTATCCCTGAAAAGCAATCGACCAACAACATTTATCCATACTTAGCAAAGGAACTTTAATTGTAAAAATTGAGAAGCTAAATGCAATAGGTACCTAATGACAGCTGAGGATTTATGAGCAGTACACGTGGAAATGCAAAAGTTATGAAATAATACATAACTCAGGAGTGAATTTCACTGCTATAAACTAACCTTTCTCCTACTGCTATAAGGTATATCAAGGATTATTATTATAACTTTAGGATTATAATTGCACTACAAACTAAGCTTTAGAAATTCATATCAGTCATTTAAATCATGACTACCATCTAGAATATCATTCACTAAAATACCATTTTGTTTATTATGAAGAGTTTCTGGTCAGTTAGACAGTGACAATCAAGTAGTCTGATAGGCACTTTATTATATTACCACCACAAAAGGTCTGATATTACTGTAGTTTCAGATCAACAAATAACTTGTGATCATGTATTGGTATCCCAGGCATACCATGAACTGTTGTACCTCTAACCACTTAACAACACAAATCTAACTGGACAACTGACATCAGATCAAAAAAACTGGGCTGGGAACAGCAGCAGCTACCCCATTACAGATAAGACTGCAGGGTTATTTCCCACCAATTTCTCCTTTCCCCCAACCCCTCCTGCAGACATTTTAACACACTGAGAGCCAAGGTGAAAGATTCAAGTAAGCAAATAAGACATGGTTGGGGATGTAACATTTGGATTTTTAAGGGCGGGGGTGCAGTAAGAGAGAAAGGTTTGGTCTGAAACAAACAAAATATTTTTAATATTTCGTACATCAATCAACAGGTCCTCCTTCAATTCCTCCGTCTCGCTGTGCGTTCCGAAAAGACAGTAATGTACTTGCTTACAAATGTTCAACCTTATGTTGAAACCAGTCATTGGGGTTGGAAAAGTGGCGGCTCACGATGGGATTCACTAACAGTAACTCGGTGTCGCTAATAAGGGATCTGCCCGTAATCAGCAGGTGTCAAGGCTCCTTATGGAGCTGTGCAAAGACGTTTATGTGCAGTTCTGCTGCTCCGTGACCCCCTTTTGCCCGTTGTTGCTGCTTCACCACATTTTCCCTCTGAAGTACGTGTTGGGAGGGAGCGGAGGAGAAAAGAGGAGGGAAAAAAAGAGAAAAGAAACATGTTCCAGATGTTGGCCCAGAACTTTTCAAGGAGCACGAAACAGCACAACAATAAAAAATCTTGATTGCCGTCCAATCTTAACATCAGACTCTTTCCTAACAGTTGAGAATCACCTCAACTTTGGGGTGTTTTTTTTTTAAAAAAAACCAAAACATTTTTTATTTTTTTTGTGTGTTTTTTTAAAAAAATGAATCACAACAGCGAAGAGGGTATGATTTGCAAAAACACATAGCAAAAGTTTCCAGATGCAATATTAATACTACCTCTCCACACCCACACCCCCCCCCAACCAAAACCACCACAAACTGACTGGAAGGGGCAGGCACTCCTCAGGGAAGCCGTGCCAACTGTGGGGGGGAGAGAGAGAGAGACTGTTGCAGACTTTCTCTCCCGGTTATAAAAGACACTGACCAAAAGAGCAATGACGGACGGCCACACAGACAAAGAGGGACAGAGGCAGAGAAACACAGACACACACACACACACACACAGAGTGAAACACACACACACACACACAGAGTGAAACACACACACACACACAGAGTGAAACACACACACACACACACAGAGTGAAACACACACACACACACAGAGTGAAACACACACACACACACAGAGTGAAACACACACACACACACAGAGTGAAACACACACACACACACACACAGAATGAAACACACACACACACAGAGTGAAACACACACACACACACAGAGTGAAACACACACACACACACACACACAGAGTGAAACACACACACACACAGAGTGAAACACACACACACAGTGAAACACACACACACACAGAGTGAAACACACACACACACACAGAGTGAAACACACACACACACACACACACAGAGTGAAACACACACACACACAGAGTGAAACACACACACACACAGAGTGAAACACACACACACACACACACACAGAGTGAAACACACACACACACAGAGTGAAACACACACACACACAGAGTGAAACACACACACACACACACAGAGTGAAACACACACACACACAGAGTGAAACACACACACACACACAGAGTGAAACACACACACACACAGAATGAAACACACACACACACACAGAGTGAAACACACACACACACAGAGTGAAACACACACACAGAGTGAAACACACACACACAGAGTGAAACACACACACACACAGAATGAAACACACACACACACACACAGAGTGAAACACACACACACACAGAGTGAAACACACACACACACAGAGAGTGAAACACACACACACACACACACACAGAGACAGAGACACTCGCGCACAGAGAAACCGAGAGAGGCAGAGAACAAAAAACTGAGAGACAGACGTTCAGTCAGTCAGTCAGACAGACAGAGAGACAGAGAGAGAAGAGGGTTCAAGCCCCGCGCTGTTGTGTCAACACGCAACAAGTTTCGCACCGAATGGCTGCACATTTAAAAAAGCCTCTCTCCGGATCCGCGGCTCCGGGGGCAGCTCCAGCCGCGGCTTACTCTCTCCCCCCCACCACCCTCATTTCTACACGAATATTATTATCATCACCACCGCCGCCACCATCACCAGCAGTTGGCTCACCTTGCTCTTCACTTCCACCGCCGCGTTGTCGCAGTACCTCAGGGAGGCGGATCTGCTGTAAGTTTTGCTCATCCTCTCTCTCTCTCTCTCTCTCACACACGCGCGCGACCCCTTCTCTCTCTCTCTCTCTCTCCCTCTCTCACGCGGGGTATTCGCGCGACTTCAAACGGCCCCTAAAAAAAAACAAACCGCCGCGGGTTCTTTTATTCTCGCTCGTGCGTGTGTCCCCCCCCACCACCTCCTCCTCCCGCTCTTGAATTTGAACCCGGGCTCTGGAAGGACGGACCGTTACCTCTCCGCCCGGGGCTGGAGCGACTCGAACTACTCCCCCCCCCCTCTCTCCCCCCGGCCGGACGGACGGGCGGGCGGGCTCGCGCGCGCACGCACGCACCCGCTCCGCGCCTGCTCAGCGTCACCGGCGTGCTCTCGGACGCGATGACGCCATCGCGCACGGCTCCAACGCTCGCCGCGAACAATGGACGCGCTGCCCCCGACACCGACACACCGCCCGCTCACCCGCCCGCCACCTGCAGGCGGCGCTGCGGTTGACCTCTCGCACCTCACGTGGACCGTGCAACCTGGAGGGCGGTGCAACTCGAGCTCAAGATCCTCATCCTCACCTACAAGGCTATTCACGGCCTTGCTCCCTCCTACCTCTCCGACCTACCATCCCCCTACCTACCTGCCCGTACCCTCCGTTCCTCTGGCTCCGGTCTGCTCCACGTCCCCCGCCCCAACCGCCCTACCATCGGTGGTCGGGCCTTCAGCCTCTCAGCCCCGAGGCTCTGGAATTCCATCCCCCAGTGCCTTCGCCGCCTCCTCCCTTTCCTCCTTCAAGGCCGTTCTCAAGACCTTTCTCTTTGACCGTGCCTTCAGCTCCCCTCTCGACTCTCTACCCCCTCCTCGCTCCCTCCCTTCCCTCCCCTCAACCTGACCATTTCCCCCCAATGCTCGGGTCCTGACCCAACTGTACAGCGCCTTGGGACGTCCTCCCAACGTGAAAGGCGCTCTATAAATGGAATCTTGTTGTTGTTGTTGTTGTTGGAGGGGTGACCCTTATCTCTGAACCAAATCCTGGGACCCACATCAAAAGAAGAAGGGAAACCAAACTCGCCACAATTCCCGCCGCTCTCGGCCACTGGAGAGGAGTGTTGGGTTAATGGCCGCGTTTTATGAGGAGTGTATCCGTTGTGGCTCTTGCTCAGTTGGTTGCTGAACTCAAGGTGGGGCAAATTTGGCCCCAGAGACGCAATACCTCGAGGACCGTCCCCGGAAATCGGGGATGTACGTCGCCCTAATCCTGATGCAGCACTGGAGGGGTGTTTCATTGTCGGAGGTGCCGTCCTTCGGATGAGATGTTAAACTGAGGTCCTGTCTGCCTGTTCGGGTGGACATTGAAGACCCCATACACGATTCGAAAAGAGAAGGGAGTTTCTCTGAGCATTCTGGCCAACAATCTCCAAATAAAATTGGTCACTCACTCCACGGCCGCTTGTGGGACATTGCTGTGCGCAAACTGGCTGCCGCGTCTCGGGCACAAAATGCTGTCAAACTAATTTTGACCCGGTAGGTGCTTTGAAAAGTCCTGGCGACGTGATAAGGCGCTACATCAAATACATCAAAGATTACTGTTTTAACTCGATGAAAGTGAGTGAGCCTCGGTAGGTTTAACAGAAGCAAACAGAGTATGGTGCGCTCATAGTTAACAACTAGAACAGAAAACTCACATGATACAGAGGAACGTTTCAGATATTGTCGCTAAGCAAGTGTCATAGATCCATAGAAATTTACAAAACAGAGGAAGCCCATTGTGTCTGTGCTGCCTCTTTGAAAGAACAATGAATCCATTCAGTCCCATTTACCTAAGTCCTGTACCTTAGTGGTTAGAGCCCTCACCTCGCAAGCAACAGCACAGGGGTTCGATTCCCGAGCAGGGTGAAACGTTAGGCAAGTTTTCTTACTCCACATGCCTCTGCTTACTCAGCAGCAAGTAGGAACCTGGTTGTTAATCGATTGCTGCATCGCTTTTCCGGGGGTAATAATACCTTCAAAAAAAATAAAATAGAAATAATTTGGTCACTCAATGCACGACTGTTTGTGGGACACTGATGTGCACAATTGGCTGCTGTGTTTTGCCCACAAAATATACAGTCAATTCACTTTGCAATGTACTCTGAGAAGCGCTTTGAGACGTGTGATAAGGCACTATATCAAATGCAAGGATTATTATTATTACCTGCCTTTTCCCCTTACCACTGCAGATTATTGCTGTAGATATCTATATAGTTCACATGACAATATCAACAAAGCTTTTTTACTCTACACAGCATAGATTAAACAAAAAGGAAGTTTATCTACATTTTTTCCACCTGGGTCTAAATTTACTCTAATCAATTAGATATGGTAGATTAGAGTATTTCACCCACATGATACACAGTCATACCACTTTAAATGTATCCTGTGAAGCTCTTTGTCTTAATGAGGTGATAAATTGCTAAATCAAATGCAAGGATTAATATTATTACTCTATTTATGCAGCTTTTCGAACATCTGGAATTTAACAAATTATTGAATTCATTCTTAACTTTGAAATAGATTTTTCTCTACTTTTTAAAAGAATTTACAGAAATCTGGCTTCAAAAGTAAGCCTGGATTTAAGAATTTGGTAAATTCTGGATGCTTTAAAGTGCTGCATCAACAGAGTAATCTAGATCCAGGTAGAATTTCTCCACACGCATTTACAGAAAGGATAATATAATACAAAATTGCATTTGTAAAGCGCCTTTCAGGTGGAGAGGATGTCCCAAGGCACTGAAGGCGAGGACGAGATTTTGAACTCGATCCTCTGAGGGATGGGGAGCCAGTGGAGCCGGGCGAGGGTGGTTGTGATGGGTTCATGGAGCCTGGGGCGGGAGAGGACATGAGCTGCAGAGTTCTGGATGATCTGCAGCTTTTGGAGTTGGGAAGGCCGACAAGCAGGGAGTTGGCGTGGTCAAGTCTGGTTGTAATGAAGGCATGTATGAGGGTCTCGGGGGCCAGAGGGTGAGACAGTGGTGGAGTCGGGCAATGTTGTGGAGGTGGGGGAAGGCAGAGCAGGTTGTGGCATGGATGTAGGGGAGAAAGAACAGTTGAGGGCCGAACAAGACGTCTGGGTTCCTGACTGGCTTGCTGAGGTGGAGTGTGCATCTATGGATGTTGATGCTTCCAGTGCCTAAAGTGTGGAGGTGCTGGTGTGAGCCAGTCAGGAGAGCCTTACTCTTGCTGATATGTAACTGTAGAAAGTCGGCTTTCATCCAGGACTTGATGACTGACGCGCACAATCTGTCAGGACATCGGTGGTCAGGGTCGAGGGTGCAATGTAAAATACGGTAAAATGGTATTAATTGATATTTTCCTGTGGAATGTATTTTTTATTAGTTTTGAAGATTACTTGGTGTTACATTAGCAGACAACAAATCAAGTTTGCTGACTCTGTGACTGTAATTTGAGTGACAGCTTTAGAAGCTGCTGCATTCAGAACATGATCGTGCGAGCAGGGTTTTGCAACACATAAAACACAAAATAAGCCAGGGCTTGTCTGTTCACAGCAGGGTTGCTTTATGCCGTGGGTGCTATTGCCACAGTTGATTAGTGTCTACATCACGTGGTGAACAATTCAGTGTGGGTAACAAGGCTGAAGTTTTTTTTTAAAAAAGCAGCATTGTCGTTACGATTTGTCAAGGCCGATGAAGACAGGAAGGTTTACGGGAGCACTGACCACAGCCGCCCGCATCAATGCAACAGAGAAAGGCCCTCCAAGGCCTTGCTCCTTCCTACCTCTGTGACCTGCTAACCCTTTATCAACCTGTCTGCTCCATCCACTCAACAGGCTCCGGTCTGCTCCATGTCCCCCGCCCGGCCCACCCCACCATGGACGGTTGGGACATCAGCCTCTCTGTCCCCACCCTTTTGGAATTCCATCCCACATTCCCTTCGCCTCTCCCCCTACCTTGTCTCCTTCAAGGCACATCTCAAGATCCTCTCTTTGACCATGCCTTCGGCCACCCTCCTACCCTCCCTGCCCTCCACGCTCCCTTAACTCCCCCTCCCCTGCTCGGGTCCAAATCCGTGACTGTCCAGCGCATCCTCCCGATGATGTTGGGACATCCTCCCGATGAGAAAGCGCTATACAAATGTAATTTTGTATTGTATTGTAAAGAAAATAAGTTTCAATGAGAAAGGAAAAGAAAAAAAAGAAAATAAGGTTATTACAGGTGAGATAATCTTCACCTACCTTGTGACAATGTAATTACCTGTAATTACCTTTTTTATTCTTGTAACTTGGCCAGGATTGCAAACATGGTGCTTGAAGCGACTTTTCCGTGGCAAATACATTTTGGAGAATTCTTAAATTCAGTCTTAATTATGAAGCCAGTTTTCTGTAAAACAAACCTACAGAAAACCTGTTTCAAAATTAATACTGAAGTCACCTACAAATGGTAACAAGTGGTAAAAATAAATCCTTCTTGCTCACTCCCCAAAACCCTTAATATTCCTCCTCAAGCATCTATCTGATTCCCTTTTAAAAAGGTCAGGGCCTCTGTCTCAACCACAAAGATGGAATGGTTATGTTCTTCTGATATGAAAGGTGCATATCAAATGCAAAATTTAATATTATTTTTATTGTTGTTGGTGTGACTTCTTACCTTAAGGTTTTTCTCATAATTTTTTGCCCCCAGTTTTATCCCTTTGTCCGCGGCTAAAAGCATCTGACTCCTTTTTCTTTCTTGTAGGGTTGGGTCTCACAGAGGGTAATTGTCCTGAGGTACATTGTCCAAGTGGCCATTGCAGGTTTGCGTAAGCCTCGACAAGTTTCAGTCTGAGAAACAAACAGGTTAGTGAGTTAATACAGTATTTTTTGAGGAATTTGGAAAGGGGGTATTGACAGTGGTAGTAAAATAGCACAGCTCGCCAATGTGCCCCCGGTATCTACTCGTAGCACAATTAGGTATTTTCTCAGAGCTACCCATTTTGCCACAGCCCTAGCAAACAAAAAAAGCTTAGAGATACCTTCCGGACTTTGTTCTCTACAGAAAATCTACATATCCTGCAGCCTTGGGACATCCTCATTACATGGAAGGTGTTATATAAATGCAATTGTTGTTCACTACCTGCTGTACAGATAGGATACACAGATAGGAAGTTGTGCCAGAACTGAGAGAAGTTGCAACACCGGTGAGAAACGACAAGTTGCCCCAAAGGCTTTGAATGACTGTATTGGGAAATGTAAATCACATTTCACAACCCACATGCATGAACAACTGCCGACAGTCAGAGTCACCCATGTCTGAGG